GTGAGTAGTTAAGTCTAGCACACACGCCTGTGTTGTCGATATTGCTAGACTAGATCTTGTACTGTGTGAGTAGTTAAGTCTAGCACACACGCCTGTGTTGTCGATATTGTTAGACTGTATCTTGTACCGTGTGAGTAGTTAAGTCTAGCACACACGCCTGTATTGTCGATATTGCTAGACTAGATCTTGTAGTGTGTGAGTAGTTAAGTCTAGCACACACGCCTGTGTTGTCGATATTGCTAGACTAGATCTTGTACTATGTAAGTAGTTAGGTCTAGCACACACGCACACACTGTGTTGTCGATAATTTTAGACTGTATCTTGTACCGTGTGAGTAGTTTAGTCTAGCACGCACATACACACGCGCGTGCGCACGCGCGCGCGCACACACACACACACAAACATGTGTTGTCGATATTGTTTAACTAGATCTTGTACCGCGTGAGTACTTAAGTCTAGCACACACACACGCGTGTGTTGTCGATATTGCCAGACTAAATCTTGACTGTGTTGGCTGATCGATATCCTGGAGCATCTGAGCTGTACCAGTGACTACCAACCTCCGTGACTCTTTTATCAGCTCTTGGTGTGAGCGCTCAATAACCGTTGTGTACAAGCACGGTTAGGTAGGACACAACAAAACAGGACGTGACCGAAATTAGTCGTTCTGTCTTTTATCAAACTAACATAATCTCGCTGTGTGGGTTCCGGGACCCTATTATAGGGAAAACAAGAATAGACCCACTGCCTACCCAAAAGCATGTCGTAAGAGTCGACTAATTGGGAGCTTCTTTCGAAGTGAGAGTGCATCTGCCTGAGAGGCAAGTAACCAACAGTCTGCGTACGAATTAGTCAGATCTGTCAAACGTATATCCACGCAACACTCAGGTTCTGGAACAGGACTGCTGTCCAGAAGTGGACGAACAACCAGAACTTTCCGCCGGAGTTTACAGCTGGTGAACGCGAAGAACAAGAAGAAGAAACTAGCATAAAAATACACATCACCATCCTCATAATCCTAATCAAAATTATGTTGTACAACATTATATGTCACATAAGGCTCACAGTCTATTCGTCTGTTCCTCTATTCCGTTCCATCCTGCTAAATTCTTTATATTTAAAAAAATATATATATATACGTATATAATTAAGTTTGAGGGTGTAAATTATCCAAATAAAACAAAATCGCGAAACTACTAATTCAGCATCATCATGCAGTGGAATACAGGTAATTAAGATTCTCAGTTTCACAGCTTTACCAGTCTAGTGTCGGCTCTGTGGCTAAGTCTATGCGAACGCTTCGTAATGCTTGGGTGCTGGGTTCGATCCCAGCTGCGGGCAATGCGCCTTGCCTTGGTTTCTACAATGGTATCAGGGAGCCGACCGTCCAGTAAGCAATGGCAAACTACTGGACGTAAATTTGCCTAGAGAAACCACACAACAGCCAGGGGCTGCTGGAGTTGGTTCTGCAACGTTCTGTAAAGGATACGCAACTAACCTAACCAGTCTAGTAGGGGACTGTGTGGTTTTGAGGCACTGTATCCGCCTCGAGTGCTAGAGGTTCCGAGTTCAATCCCCGGTCAGGGCTGGGATTTTTTCACGTCGACTCAGACTTCTTGTAATTCCCCCTGGTCTCTGGGTAGTGGGATCAGACGCCCGTGTGCATTGTTGCGCAAGTAAAAAGTCACTTGGCAGTTAGAAATTGAAAAGCGTAGGCTAACGGCGCTGCCCGGGCAAAATTTGGAGTTAAAAATCTACCCAAAGTATTTCAGGATCCTCGCCAGTGCTACAGAACCTGTGCTCAATGCTGCGCTTCTTCGGACTCAGAACTGAGTTAGAAGTAGAAGTAGAACGGAGCACTTATGGGTCATGATGTTGAATCGTTTAGATGTTGGATGTAATTCCAGAATAGTTTTTCATTTGAAGTTTAAAGGTTTTTTTTCCCCTTTTCTTTCACTATCAGTTCAATAATTAATGTGTAAAATATATATTACACACGTTTTATTTTGGTCTGGGCGCTCGTAAATTACGGTAACTGCTATAATTAAAACGTTGATCTCACTGGGGCCAAGGCTCAACAATCCAACAGTACTGATGTGGATTAAATAAAACCAAATTGTGACCGGTACCGTCAGTATGGGAACTCTGCGCCCGCTGCATAAGATAAGAACGGAGCACGCATGGGAATGCCCCGAGTGCTGTGATGTCAATTCTTGACTCAACTCAACTGGTGCTGATTAAGAGAGAGTGTAAATCATAGTAACTTTATTTTAACTATAAACTCACTTTGAAGTGAATTACAGCCGACTTCGTGAGGGTTTTTATGCAAGATAACGTTCTTTGTAAGTACCGCGTGCGCAATGTAAGCATGAGTGCGAGACTTCAAGAGTGCTGCAGAGACTTTAAAAAGCATAAAACTGCAGTGCCATTCAGGGATATCACAGCACTAAAACTAAAAGTTTATCACATCACAGACTAAAAGAAAAAAAGCTTACCAGAATAAAAGATACGGGAGTTAAGAGCGGCACAGCCAAAGGCGAGAGGCACACCGGGCATACAAAGAAGTAACACTATTAGTCACATGACGCTGGGGTTCATACAGAGGGAAGAATCTGAGCACCTATGGACATGTCCGGAGTGCAATGATTATATCCAACTAACTAACTAACTAACTAATTAACTAAGAACTATAAAGAATAATATACCACACAGTCAGTTATTTGGATCATTAGCCCTACCTTTGATATTAAATCAGTTTTTTTTTTTAACTTATTTTTTTTTTAAACACGGGGATTGTAAACAGAGAAATAAAAACAACAACTTCAGAAAACACCGTCTAGATTTCAGCGGCTCATTGCTCAAGCAACTGAAGCAGAGACCTCCAGAAAATTTAGACGCAATGAAAAATAGTTCACTCTTTCTGTTACCAACATACTTCAGACAGTTCAGGACATACGTAAATAGTGTACAGTTATGACATTTGTAGGGAATACTTATAAAAGAGTGAGCAGCTGAAAAACAGTTGAATCTGACTTGTAATGAGGTTGTAACTGTTGCTGTAAACATGTCGAATCTTTGTTGGCTCAAAGAAGGCGACAGAGCCCGTGTGGGAATGTACCAAGTGCACGGGTGTTAATTATTGATTCATTTATACATCCATTTCATTAAATTAATTTTGTTTTTTAATTTTTTGTTCCATGTTTTACCTGTACTATGGTGAATCGCTGTGATCTAGACGCTCGGAATGAGTGTGAAGGAAGAAATGATTGCAGAAAGGATGAGAGCTGAGCGTCTGATAAGAAACGGATTAAACACAAATGTTGACAACAATGGATCTGAAATCCCATGCTATCATTGTGGAAGACTTTTCTTGACACGGGCGGGTCTTGCTAGTCACACTCGCCATCGCCATGGACTGTGAGTCTCATGCCAATCGACTATGATCTCAACCCTCGACCTTCGCATCCATAGTCGAGGGTCTAGTGGCTAGACCGTAGCGGCTCCCAGTTGCCTGAATGTTAGTGCCAATAGTCAGACCATGCGAGGCCTTATTGCTGTCACAGATATTGGCCTCTTCATCTACAGGTGGTGTCTACCTGTGGTTCTGTCGAAATTATCCCGTATACTCTCACAAGAGAGTCGCCAGTCAAAACACACTGGACTGTAAGGTCAAACAACAGGGAAGTACGTGACGTGACCGTTACGCGTGTGACCTGATTATAACTTCCTTGAATACAGCCTTGAATTGTTCGGATTTTCCCTGCTAGGTTTCATTCTTCTTCTCCTTTCCCTCCTCCCTCCTCCTCCTTCTTCTTCAACTTCTTCTTCTTTTCTTCTTCTTTTTTTTTTCTTCTTCTTCTTCTTCGCATTTACCGGCTATAAACTTCGGGGAAAAGTTCTAGTTGTTCGTCCTTCTTCATCTTTTTCTTCTTCTCCTCATCCTTGTTCTTCTTCTTTTTTTGCATTTTCCAGTTGTAAACTTCGGGGGTAAAGTTCTGATTGTTCGTCCACTTCTGGACTCTAGTCCTGTTCCAGAAACTAAGCGTTGCTTGTACATCCGTTTCAGTTGTCTGATTCATCTGCATGCAGATCGTTGGCTCCTTGTCTCTCAGGCAGATGTAATGCGACTTCAAAGGAAGCAAATGCGGCTATTTGAATTACAGGGGTGGTCAAACCATCATGTCAGTCATCGGAGATTTGAGCACGCGCGGGAATGCAACGTGTGCAGTAACGCAGATTGTGATTCCTTGAACCAGGACCATTCAACTGACAGCCCGCAGGCCACATCTGGCTCGTGGAAGGCCAGTGTTTTGTGGCGACTTGGTCGCTGTGGTTTAGTGTGAGTGTCACCCCTAGGGAAGGAGAACAATGAATAGACCTATACATTACCACCTATTATAGGTTTTCAGAATTTGGATAAGTTAAGCCGAAAGGTGCGAATGTCGCAAGATAGCTGTATATAACAAAACATCATGTCATCCGCCAATTTTATTGCAGAAGAAGAAGAAAATTTTATTGAAGAAAGAAGAAGAAGAAGAAGAAGAAGAAGAAGAAGAAGAAGAAAGAAGAAGAAGAAGAAGAAGAAGAAGAAGAGAAGAAGAAGAAGAAGAAGAAGAAGAAAGAAGAAGAAGAAGAAGAAGAAGAAGAAAGAAGAAGAAGAAGAAGAAGAAGAAGAAGAAGAAGAAGAAAAAGAAGAAGAAGAAGAAGAAGAAGAAGAAAAAGAAGAAGAAGAAGAAGGAGGAGGAGGAGAAGAAGAAGATGATGATAAAGAAGGACGAGAAAGATGAGAAGAAGAAGAAGAAGAAGAAGAAGAAGAAGAAGAAGAAGAAGAAGAAGAAGAAGAAGAAGAAGAAGAAGAAGAAGAAGAAGAAGAAGAGGAAGAAGAAGAAGAAGAAGAATGAGGAGGCGGAGGAGGTAGAGGAGGAAGAAGAAGAAAAAAAAAAGAGGAGGATGAGATATTTAAAAAAAAAAAACAGGTTCATTTTTAAGCTGGTACTCACCTCAGCTCGCTCGACATCAAACTCCAGGCACCCGACACCGTCCAGCCGCACCAAATCCAGCCAGCCTTTCCACACGACACAGACGCCGTTGAGAATAAACTGAGACTTCAAATGGACCTGCGCGAAACAAGGGAAAGTTTTCAGGGCATGGTAACTATTTGTGACGAAACTATCGTCTTAACTTGAAAATAAGACCTAACGTGAACATAAACCCTAGGGCGTCATGAGAGCTGAAAGAATATTGAGCCGGAGAATATTGAGAGAATGTTAGATGACAGAGGGGTAAAAGCTGTATACACGAGGCAGACCAAGAAGACGATGGAGAGATAATGTCCAGACAAACCACCAAGTGGAGGGAGAAGGCCAACCAGAGAGATGAGTGAAGGCGGGTGATATCTGCAGCAGTGAACCTCAAGGGCTCGGAATGTTGAAGAAGAAGAAGAAGAAGATTATTCAAGATAATCATAAAAGCCCTACCCCTAAAGTAAGCCCCGGATAATATTATCGGTCATGCGGGTGGATTTCATTAGTCCGTTAAAACACACAATGGAAGCACTGATTTTGAAAGTCATGAATTGATAAACAGTATAAATACATAATATGCTTTAATCTGATTAAAAAATTTCTAAAGACACACATATATATATACATACACAGACACACACAAAAATATATATATATATATATATATATATATATATATATATATATATTATATATATATATATATATATATATATAATATATATATATATATATATATATATATATATAGAGAGAGAGAGAGAGAGAGAAAAAAAAAACAGCCTAGACGTAGTTTGGGGGCAAATATTAATATAAAACTCAGTCTTATTTTAAACACAATCATAAACGAAAAACAGAAGATAAACCGATGTTGGTATTTTCTTTAACTTAGTCGAACGGTTAGGAACACTGCGTGATCTCGGGGCATGGCGTTCGCCTCGAGTGCTGGAGGTCCCGGGTTTAAGACCAGGTGTAGGGTGGTATTTTATTTTTTTTTCACGTGGACTTCTAGTAATCCCCCCCCCCCCCCCCCGTCTCTGGGTAGTAAGATCGGACCACCGTGTTTATTGTTGGGCACGAAAAACAAAAATTCCCTGGCAGTTGGAAATCAGGGGGGGGGGGGGGGGGGGGGGGGGAGGCAGTTGCCAGTACTACGTTTTGAATTTAAAATCTATCCAAAGTTTTTCAGGATCTTCGCAGGTTCTACGGAGTTCGCGCACTGCGCTGAGACACTTCGAACTCAGTCTTGAGTCAGAAGCAGAACGGCGCACTTATGGGTTCTAACCTTGTGCCATGATGTTGATCTGTTGTTTAAACCAGTAATAACAGATATCCGCACCTGTTTCCACGAATCAAAAGGCTATAAATTGTATATTACGCTACCAATGCCAATCATACACACACACACACACACACACCGAGGTGGTGGCAGTGGCTAGACGCTTGCCTGCAGGTCCAGCGGTTTGGCGTTCGAATCCAGGTGGATTACATAATTGACAGAAAGTAAGTTAATAATTTAAACCTACAAGGACATCACACAAGCAATAAACACCCAGTGACACGAAAGTGCCACTATGCGGATGAGGATTACCCGTGGAGAGGTCCCGGATATCACGTTCAACCGCCAGGCTATATTGCGGCCCCTGGCAACAGACAGGGTGGGGCTTCAAAATAACGAAAACATTGCATCCCACAAGGGGGATGACTCAGATAAGTAACTGACAGAGCATATCGCGGCAGACGAGATTCCTGCCACTCCGCTATCGCAGCTCCAAATAATTAATAAAGTAAGTTGTGAACGGCTGGCAAAACCTGTCATTCTGATTCCCGACCAAGGACAGAAATATAACAATTGAAAATGTCTCACCTTGCCTGGTTCTTGGTCGAAATTAACAAACTCCATTGTGGGCACTCTATCTTCAGGCCGGTCGGACCAAGAATTCCGTACAAAATTTAACTGTAGATTTGTTCCTGTAACCACGAACGCCTGTCAAACAAACGAAAGATAACTTCAAATACCCGAAACAAAATTTGATTTACCACCCCCTCCCCCCTCCCCATTTTAACTCAAATTGGAGAAAGGGATGGATAATAATTTAGATTAAAACAATTGCCGTGGCTGCATTTTTGTTTTGATGCAGCTTTTGTTCTCACTACTCTTTATAATTGTTTTTTAACTTGGTGACGTGAATGAAGTTTAAACCTACCGGGACCCCAAAGCCGATTCTACTGGGGCACAGACAGCTATCATCTGCCACCGGCTCACCCACAGGCTCGCCGGTAGACGAATTCGTAGCCAGGGTTGCTGTTTGAACGTGACGATTTTCTTTCTCCAGCAAAGCATCACCACTCGACGGTTATAACGTAACACAAAGTCATTACCCAGACACATAAAACACAGTCTCAGCCAACATACTTAGCACGAAAAAAACATAGACCATAAATATAACCGAACGCTGCAGGTATTTATAAAATTGGCAGAGACGTTTACATACAAAGTAACCAGAATTCCACAGTGTTCCAATTCAATTTCAATCCCCCCCCCCCCCCCCCCACCCCCCCCCCCCCCCACCCCAACAAAAATCAAAAGCTCAACCACGTTCAACCTGCTGCTAGCTAGTCGAAGCTGCCAACAGTCTACGGCTACATTTGTGGTCTTGTTCATTTGCACCATTTTCGTTGGTAAAGTTCTGGAATTTGCGCTGTTTCTGGGTTTAATGCTTCTTTCCTCCATGTCTCAGACTGTCATTATTTATAGTTTTAAAACTTTGAGTATTTTACTTTGCCGAAAAGTACTGAAAACAGTTTTTGGGTTTGGATAGATTTTGAATGTGAAAATATTCCGCGTCTGACCATTGTAGTTTTATAGTTGTCTTCCTACAATAAGAACGGGTTTATCATGTCATAGAGATGTGTGTGAAATGTTAGGTGGCGCCTCACAATGATTCTATCCGTAATTTGTTATAGTGTGGTCCGATTGTGTCGGTTTGGGTTGGGAGCTAGGCTCTGGTGTGTGTAAATACCTGACTATGCGTTAACGCAGCGGTTCTCAAACAAGAAATAAACTATCTTCGACAGTGGCGAGGGAGGACAACTTAAATTTTAACTTTTAAGTATCTACATGATTTCTTTAATAATTTCACAATTTGTATCCGACTTTTGTTGATTATTGCCGCGGCACCCTCTGCATACGCTCACGGCACCTTAGGTTGCATCGGCACCTTAGGTTGCCTCGCACCCAGGTTGAGAACCACTTCGTTAATGCATCGTTAGCTCGCCTTAGTGACGTCAGCAGCACGGCCCGTCAGCTGCAGCCGGTCGTGGATGAAGACTGCTTCGGTCACAATTTGCTACTGACCGTTTGATCAGTTTTCCCCCGCCTCTGACAGTCAGATACAAAGACAATTTAACATCCCAAAAAGATAGTAAAAACAATGACCGCGAGTAACGAGTTGACTGATGAGTCCAATGGGAAGTTCTTGAGTAGCGCGGACAACAGTTGGAAGCGACTGCAGAGGCGGGATTCCCCACATGGTGGGGCAATGCTATCTATACTATAGAACAGAAAATTCATGCGTCTGTCTGTCTGTCTGTCTGTCTGTCACAAGAACTTCTTCCAAACGGTGAACAGTAGTGATGTGACATTTGCACATGTCATTCAATTCCTCATTGCAATTTTCTGTTCGGCGTGAATACCTCGTGTTCCACTTGAGTTTGCAATGAAAATCAGTAACTCACAGGTTGCAATTTCCTGTTCGACGTGAGTTTGCAATGAAAATCAGTAACTCACAGGTTGCAATTTCCTGTTCGACGTGAGTTTGCAATGAAAATCAGTAACTCACAGGTTGCAATTTCCTGTTCGACGTGACTTTGCAATGAAAATCAGTAACTGGAAGGTTGCAATTTCCTGTTGCACCTGAGTTTGCAATGAAAATCAGTAACTGGCAGGTTGCAATTTCCTGTCCGACGTGAGTTTGCAATGAAAATCAGTAACTGGCAGGTTGCAATTTCCTGTTCGACGTGAGTTTGCAATGAAAATCAGTAACTGGTAGGACAATCCCTTCAAGACACAGACTTGGAGCTGACTGGCAGTGCTTCTCGCGTAGACACATGTATGCGGGGTTGTGAAGGATGACGGATCCATCAACATTTATCATCATCACCGATATCATCAACAACAGATTATAAATTATTATTATTATTATTACTCTCATTCTTCTTCTCCTTCTCCTTCCGCACTTTAATCTTGTTCCAGAACCTGAGTGTTGCGTGCACATCCGTTTTACATGTCTGCCCCATCTGTATGTAAACTGTTCGTTCGTTGCTTATCAGGCAGACGCATTCTGACATCGAAGGAAGCTACTAATTAGTCGACTCTTACGACATGCTTGTTGGGTAGGCAATGGGTCTATTGTTGTTTTCCCCCACAATAGGACTCCGGAACCAACACAGGGTATATGATACTGTCTATGAACCAACTACCGCATCCTTTACAGAACGTTGCAGAACCAGCCCCAGCATTTTAAGGCTGTTGTGTTTTTTGGGGGGCAAATGTTACGTTTAGTAGTTTGTCATTGCTTTCTCAACGCTCAGCTCTTTGTGCCACTGTCAAAACTAACGCAAGACAAACCATTCGCAGCTGGGATCGACCCGGTACTCCGGCATTACGAAGCGCGTTCGCAACGCCTAATGGGTTGGGGAGGGGGGTGCTAATAAAAATTAATACAGACTGAGTTTGATTCATCCCAGCGGAGCCATACACTAAATCTAGTGACCTGTTAAAAAACCAGTGCACGAAACAAAACTACAAATTGCTGCCTTTATTTTACCACAATTGCGGTGTAGGCAGGGTAGTCCTTGAGCCTGAAGATTTACGGCCACACGGCTAGTGCTCTCGCCACGACTGTGCAAGTGGGGATTTTATTTTGCCCCTGACAGAAATAATTCTCAGCCTTACTGAGAAATCGAACCCAGGTCTCCCGCTTGAGAACCCAGCGTTCTAACCATTCGGCCAGCCGCTCCTCACGAAACTGAACGCTGTTGGTAAACTTTATCAACTCGGCAAAGGCATCAATGAATCAATCAACTAACAGCTGCCACTGGTGTGTCACCAAGTACACTCCGTTGCAGACGTTTTATAATTGCTGAAATAGCAGAAATATTCAGCAGTAAACCTCTTTTAAAAAATCGCTCTCATTTAAAGTCAGAAAGAGGGTGCGAAAATGTTACATAGAACTTGTTCTGCTGTATGGCAGCGAATCTTGGAATGTCAGTCAACAAATTAAGAAGAATTTGGAAGCAACAGAGATGTGGTTTCTTAGACGAATGTTACAAATTGGACGGCCAGAGTAACTAACAACGATTGCTTGAAAGAAGCTAATAATAGTAAATCTCTATATACAACAATAGGAAAGAGTCAAACACTGTTCTTTGGCCACATAATGAGAAGAGAGACACTGGAAAACATCGTGACAACTGGAAAGATCAGTGGGAAAAGGGGTAGAGGTAGACCAAGAGAGATGATGCTGGATGGGCTGAAACGATGGCATGGAGGGATATCATCAAGAGAGCTGCTCCAGGCAACCAGGGATCGTGAACTGTTAAGACGCATGAGCGCCTATGCCAGTTGGCAGGGCACATGATGATGATGAAACCTCTTCAATTCGTATTAGAGTACAAGAAAGTAATAATAATACCAACGACACGGAATCGGAAACCCGTTACAAAACTACAAATAACATTAGTATCAAATTAAATACCAAGGTCTGAAAACACTTCAAAGTATTGTGAATGAAATCATGTGCAGAAGATATGAAACAATTAATAATTCACGTAACCTGTCTCGGTACCGGGCAACGTTATCAAATGACATACTTCCGCTACAATGTTAGATTTACTGTGTCAGCAGCCATTGTTTCTAACCCTAGCAACGCACCATGCGTGACTGTATATGAGGATATGGACTGCACGATAGTTCACATAAAGGCTATCGGCCTCGTGATATAAGTTTTCTGACAGAAGGATAGAAGAAGAAGAAGAAGACTAGTAGAAGAGGCAGAGGAAGACCAAAATAAATGAGGGTGGATGGCTTAAGACAGTGGCACAGAGTAATATCATCAGTGAAATTGATCCGAACACCAAAGACCGTGATCCTATGGAGATGCATGAACGCCTACGCCAGCTGGCAAGGCATTTTATGATATTGATCATATCCATGCAGCAAGGATGACACCAAACAATCCTTTACATTACCTCTCTCAGTTCACAAGCTGCGATTCTACGGTGGCCAAATTCAAGAATTCTCCATGACATCAATATCATATGCGGCGTCCGTGGCTTAGCCGTTGCGAGTCCGACTCGTAATTCCAACGTACCGCGATCGAAACCCACTGTTGGCTGCGTGGATCTTTTTTACCGTGATGCGGGACGTCGCAGGTCGACCCAGCCTGAAATGGGTACCAGGGTGGATGTCCTGGTGAAATCAAGACTTCCGGCGTAATGCTGACTACATTACCCACCCAGTGATGATTGGTCTGTAAAAATATGGGGTGCTCTTCCCACATGCCCGATGCGCCTAAAGGCGTGAAAAAGCATCTCTACTTTACTTGAATATCATACTATTCGAATTTTTTTTTTTAAATTAATTATCATATCAAATGCAGTTCTTGAAAAAAAAAATTAGATAAGCGGGACACTCTAATGCGTCAAAAGAAAGACTCGAACACACACATAACATAATAAATAGCCCTAACTCAGTAAAAAAAAAGTTTTTGTTTGTTAACTAACTTAAAAAAAAAACTGCAATAAATAAAACCTAGCTGACGATAAATATCACAATTAATTCAATGGTCTCCAAACATCGCAACGGAACAAAATACTACAGCAGTCACTAACAACATTCCTACAAAATATTTTTATAACATTTATTATTGTCTATATTCCTCCGGTGTCAAGCAGAGCGACCTGACGGCCTAGATAACGACGCGGCCGTATTTATAATCAAGTTTTCAGAAAGAAAAATTAATTGAAACTTCGACGACAGCAAAATTATGGTGAACCAGAACTGCTGCTAAAAATTAATCAGGGAATGTGAAAGATCATCAGAATAAATCACAGCATTCCAATACCTCTCGCGTGGATAATCATACACCTTTCTGGGGGACTCTTAAATACAAAGGTGGTGAAAAAAAAAGTTACACTAGATAAGACCGATGCTAAACGCCTGGCGAGAGCGTCGCACAAGCACGAACTACGTATCGCCGGTGATGATCCCCAGGATCTCCATAAAAACTGCACTCGTGAAATGAATAGCGCAGCCATGAAACGAACCCACAACAATAAGAGCGCCAGGCAAACGGTTTGGCCACTTCGCCACGAAGATCCCTCGATAAAATACGAATACAGAAGGCAAGAGGAATTTTTTTAATTTTACAGCACTGGGTAATGTGTAGAAGTCAGAGGAAATCAAAATTAGTACTAAACTTAAAAATTTTAGAAGTTAGAGGAAAACAAAATTAGTACTAAAATTAAAATTGGTAGAAGTCAGAGGAAATCAAAACTAGTACTAAAATTAAAATTAGTAGCAGTATGCACGGCGTACTACCGATGGTTAGCAAGTCTTCTATTTATCTGGCTTTATTCTGCACAGGCACTGGATAATAAATATGTGTAGTCACTACTGACAGTCAGCCTATGGATCATGCTGATATTATTAATACCCTCAGAGAAATGGGAAGGATATAGGACTTTGGTGGCAGTGAATCCACATCACTCGCCAGAATGGCAGACTTGGGAATTAAGATCGGCATAGCAAAAAACGAGAAGACTTGTTAATCAACATAGAACTGGCACTATTAGCCATCGGACGTTGGGGTTCATACTGAGGGGAGGACTGAGCACCTATGGACATGTCCGGAGGGCAATGATGATAACCCAACTAACTAACTAACTAGCTAAGTATGCACGGCGTATGTGGCTTAGGCGTTGCGAACGCGCTTTGTGATGCCGGGGTACCCCGTTCAATACTAGCTGCGCTCGATTTGTCTTGCGTTGGTTTCGACACTGGTACCGAGAGCTGACCGTTTAGGCCGCAATGGCAAACTACTGAACGTAAAATTTGTCTAGAAAAACCACAATAGAAACAAGAACCACAAAAATGCTAGGGTTGTTTCTGTGAAGACATGTAAAGGATTGGCAACTGACTTTTAACTGCTGTTTGTTTGTTTACGTTTATTCGACAGATCAACATCATGGTACACAATGGTGTAACCCATAAGTGCTCCGTTCTACTTCTAACTCAAGCCTGAAAAATCTCAGGACAGTGCACGAACTCCGTTACACTGGCGAGGATCCTGTGTGGAGCGGAAACTGCTGTATGGAGCGGAAGAAGACACAAACAATAGACTGCACAATTTATTGCCTGTCATATTTCGCTTTATCTCATTTTTGGACACTTTGTGGTGGGTAACCGCAACTTGTTTCTACGAATAAAGCCCAGATTTTTATTAGTAAAAGTAGTACTAGCAGAAGCAGTAGTAGTATAAGTTGTAGAAATAGTAGTAGTAGTAGCATAAGTTGTAGAAATAGTAGTAGTAGTAGTAGTAGTAGTAGTAGTAGTAGTAGTAGTAGTAGTAGTAGTAGTAGTAGTAGTAGTAGTAGTAGTAGTAGTAGTAGTAGTAGTAGTAGTAGTAGTAGTAGTAGTGACGGTTGTGATTAGTAGTTCTTGTTTTAGTTGTAGCAGTAGTCGACGAACTATTTGACCAGATTATGCCAAAGAAACAACAATTCCTTTTGTATATCCATATTAGGGATAGTCTTCTTATAAAACAAACATTTGTAGGTTCTTGTCCTGCCATGCATTTCATTTTACAGTTAATTCGTGGTTAATCCCGTGTCATTCTAAGCGCCATAAAAAAAAATGTCAAACATCAATTGTTCCCAATAATCGTTCCTTTCACTAAGGACTTTCATCTTGACAAGCAAACAAGGAAATGAAATTTCAGACGTGCTAACAAATAACACATTTAAATTAACTCACCAAATCGGCATGACCTTCCCGAACTTCTGCCTGAAATCTCAGTTGTCTCTCCTCTTGAGGTCTGTCTCTAAAACCGGTATATCTTACCTATGAAGGAACACAGATAGGTAGGTTGGTAGGTAGGTAGGTAAACTTTAGACTACGTTATATCATCAGTAAATACTTGATGAAACAACCTGCTAATATATCAGTATTGAACTTTACGAGATTAATACCGCAAAGAAATTGGCACAGGTAGGAGGAAAAATTATATATAATGTAAAATAAACGAAGCAATTTAATTCGGATGTATAAACTATAAAAATCCCGTGCTTAAATATCACATAGATTAACAACACATTCACAGGTGAAAACGATTCCTACCTCACTGTCCCTACTTAATTTTCTAAACAATTCGTCGTTTTCAAAGGTTATCCTCTGATCGGGTACAACCCGAGGCATAGCGAATATAAATTGTTTACCAACTTCACAATCTGAAGTGTTCGCGGCGAATGACAACATGCTTTCTGGTTGCCGTTCATCCATGTTTTCTGTTCACATCAAATCTTTCACATGTTGCTTCATACCTTCTGCTCTTTCATTGGCTGCCAGTTTTTCGACTGGGAGGGGATTCCGATCATCACTAGTGACGGAGATAACCATATTTGGGCTTTCTACTTCCGTGATTGCCGCCACCATTCGTGAATATTCTTCGGATGTCTTATAAATATTAAACAGCTGTGCCATAAAAGGGCATTTCCGCCCATCTCCGTTGCCTAATGACGACAAACCACGACCTAGTTTTAAACAAATAACGAGGAGTCGTCGAGATCGGAAATCCTTATCTCCGTGACTTTTTTTTTCCTCCCCCTATCTCGCTCAACTAGGAAACCCTTTATTTGGGAACTCCCCAGTTGGATAATCGACCGGGAAACACCCAGATATATTTGTCATCCCTCGCTGGCTCGTTTTAGCAAACCCCACAGTTAGTGTGTTGTTATAAGTGTACGTACCACGTTTATCACTGTCATTCGTGTAGATGAAAATGTCGCAGGAAATGTGAGCTTGAAAAAAAGTATAGAATAAAATCAATTAAAGTCAAGTCGTGCGCTTCCGATGGTTTGCTTAAGCAAATGACGAAATGTCAGATTCCATGTAAAATATTTATATTATTCACAATGCGGTTTAGAAAAATAGTTTATGATATTATTTTTGTCGAAAGAGACTTTGATCGCAACGTTTGGTATTTGTCTGAGCGGTTTTTTTTTTTCCTATTTTTCTTGTTGGGCGTTTTAGTCATTTACAATATGTGTACCGTTTCCGCAATAAAGATTCGCTGCAAAAGTGATATCGGTACTTTAACTTTATACGACCGCAACCCGTCGGCTTCGAGATTTCGTAGGGAATTCCTAGGGATCTTAAGAGGGTTTCTCTGCACAGTACCATATTATGAGGTGGGGAGGGAGGGGGTATGGCTAGTGCTAAAAGAATAGCGACTACTACTGAGCCTAACTTTAACCCCCTCCCCCCTACCCCGCTCCCCCCTACCCCGCTCCCCCTTTCCCTCCCCATGCTATGGGACGTTTTAGGATTTCCCTTCCTTCTTCTTCTGCGTTCGACATCAGTCATGCTAAACATTGAGTCCCGTCTGGGTCACAAATAGGATTGTGCGTTTAAGGTCGCCACCGGTCCCCCATAGCTTCTCTTGCAATGTGGGTCTATTGGGCCAGATCCAGTCTTTGCTGGGAAAGGTTAGGGCAGTACTGTAGTATGTGCTCAGGGGTCTGTCTTTCTGCTCAACAATCACAGGCGGCAGATTCTTTTATGCCTATCCTGTACAGGTGTGCTCTAAGACCACAGTGTCCAGTCCGAAGTCTAAAAATTGATGTTCGATTTCCCTTCCAAACCCGAAGCCGACGAGATGTCATTGTATAAAAGGAAAGTACCGTGGTATCTCTTCCACGGTGCCACTCTTATACTGAAGTTATTTGCTCGTCTTTTACAGGACGTTGCAAAACCAGCCCTAGCATTTTTAACTGTTTGCGAATTTACCACACACTTTTACTTTCGGTAGTTTGTCTTTGCATCAAACGGTCCGTTCACAAAACGGATATAGTAACGATTTCCGGCCCAGAAAGAGAGTGACTTCCCTTCCCATTCATGCCTCGTCGTGTCGCAGGGCCTGAACTATGTTGCGGGGGTGTCACGCTTAGTCACCGACCACCAACAAGCAGTATTTTACTCATTGTTGTCACATGTCGGCGATATCGGGTGTTCACGATGTGAGCGCTTTTAACAGTCCTAAAACCACAACCCACCTATCCCACAGCCTTAACCTACGCCACGCAATTGCATACAGCCTAGGTCGCACAACTGTATACAGCATGCAGATATGGGATGTAAGCTACACTCTCTCTTGCGCGTAGGCTGCACTCTCTCGAGAGACAAAGGCTAGGCTGAGACTGGAGGTACGGGGTTGGGGTTAGGGTCAGTTCTATATGTTTTAGGACCGTCTCGTGGATGTGGCAAGTGTTTTATCCAGTCCCCCTAAAATACATTAATAATGAGTGTTTACACTGAGGGAATAGTGCATTTCAAAAGTGTACCCTCACACTTTCACAAATGCCTCGAAAACTCCTGCTCGGATCAATTCGAATTTGTGAAGATAGCCTTAGATTTTCCAATTGTCCTATGGATTTTTAATTTACAAATGCACAGTTGCTGCTATTTTCTTAACGCGACGACTTTCTTAGATCTTTGTTTAATTAATATTTTGTATACCCCTACACATAAAATATACAGTAATTGACACACGCGTGAAGATTGTGCGGAAACCAGTTCACATAAGCAGCGATGCGTGGTGATTATTTTGAAAACCTATCCCGCATGCAATGAAATTTGTTCGTTTATCACGAAGGATAATGCTGGAGATGACCACCTCTTAGTAAAAGGCCAATGAAACGCATTGCAATTTGATGTTTTGAAAAGTTCTCGTTACCTTATTAACTATCACCATGTTGATTTTTTTTTTTTTGCTTGAATCAGTGTCTTTTTTTCATATACCACAAATAAGGCAAAATGGAAACTAAATTATTTAAAAAAAAAAAATTTTTTTAATGTATTCAGTGACATTTTTTATTAATTAATCAAATGAAATGTGACTGGAAAGTTTGATGAAACGAACAAGCAGAACAACATGCACAAAACAAACAAATCGACGTTTCAACTGGGGGTTTTCTTGACATGACATTATTTGGTGATTTGTTAATATCCTACCCCCAGATGACGTCATAGGACAGTCCAACATTTTAGAGGGTGGTAAGCTTGGGTTTCCCAGCTTTCTGATGCTTTTAACGAACCCCAAAACATATAGAACTGGCCCTAACCCCAACACACCTACGTCCTACGAGAGAGTGCAGTCTAGGTCCCACGACAGCCTAGGTCCCACGACTGCATGCAACCTAGTTCCCACGACTGCAAGCAGCTTATCTACCACCTACTGAAATATTAGATCTGTCCCGTGATCAGTGGATTTCCCCTGTTTGGGGTAGGATATAATTAAAGCACCCATTATTTTTACAGGTGGCATGCCAAATGTCAACAACTTACACCGAACGACATTCAAGATTTTTAAAGTTGGGTCAGGACTTCCGCAACGGACTGCCCCCCCCCCCCCCTCTCCCTCCCTCCCCTACAGAGTAAACACAAATATGATTCAGCAACTGGCGGGATTGAACGCAGTGTAGAACTGGACTCTGAGTTCTGTGCTAGAGAACAAAATGCATATACATGTTGTAATTGTAACAGACTCTGAAGACATGCTGAGAAAGGTGAAGATATGGATGTTTCCAGCAAAGTGGCAAGCTTCACGGGAGGGGTCACGGGTAGGGAGCAGGCATTGGACTTTTTTCTCCAGGCCATGTCGGCGTGGCAGGCAGACAGACTGGCTGGATCTGCACCACTAGGTGGTGAACTGATACATGACAAAGCAGATGTGGTCAACGGTCCTTTCTGAACAAGCAACGGAATCAATTATAAAAAAAAAAAAAAAACAAGATTATTATAGCCGGGAGAGAATGAGGCACCTCGGTGTAACCCAGAGGGTCTGACCAGGTCACTACACTCAGAGGAAAGGTAAACAGACATATAACCAGATTGTGACCGGTACCATCAGTATTGGAACTCTGCGCTGGCTGCTGAAGGTAATTACGGAGCATGCATGGGAATGCCCCGAGTGCTGTGATGTCAATTCTTGACTCAACTCAACTCACCCAGAAAGTTATAAAGTGGCCTCAGCTCCCTGTGCCCCAGTGATTTCTTTGTGACGGCACTTGTGACAACAATACGGTTATTTTAGAAGATCTTGAAGTTGAGTTTTCAGAGTTAAGGGGTCACTACAGATTTGGAATTGATAATCACAGTTGAGAGTTAAGAGTGTAAGTTGCGATCGAGAAAATTAAACGCTGAGGATTAAAACTGAAAGAGTTCAGGTAAACAGTGAAAGGATAGAGATCTAAAATTAAAAGAGTTTAGGTTAAGAGTAACATGCCAGAGAAATATAATAGAGGGTTTAACTACCGAGAATTCAGAATGGGAGCTAAAATCTAAACAGTTAAATCTCCGACTCAAGAGACCAAACACTCTTCAAGCCAACCCTACATGATACACTATTTTTACACTGACTCGCCAACAAGAGAAAACAAACGCACTTACTTTTTCTCATTCGTCCGACTATTGATTTGGACTAAACTGCGCTGTACCTGTTTACAGCAAAGCTTCGATATTTGCGCATTTTTGTCGGACCCATTAGATTTCAGGCATTTGCTACTCCTGTTAGCCACAAACCTATATAGATATTGAATAGTTGAAGTACAGATACGAGAACGTTTCCCACGCGGCGGTTACAGACGACTTCCTGTATTGCAAAATCGTCTGTAATCACTTTAAATCGTGGTTAAATATTGCTATATATATTTTAGTATAAAGTTGTAAAGATTACCTCCAATCAGTCAGTCTAATTACTAAATATACCTGACTCTCAGAGCCTGACTGCCGTTTGTTCAGATTTATTAATTCAGATCAGATTACCGAACCTTTTAAAGGAAACATAAATTACTCAACGATTCTGGAAATGTACCTTTCAGTGTGGTTTCCGGGGACTCACAGTGGGTAAACAAAAGGGGTAGGGGGAAGAACAGACTCACTGCTCCCTAACAAGCATGTCGTAAAAGGCGATTAATTAGATGTTTTTTCTTCGAAACAGGAAGATATCTTCTTGAGAGGCGAGAAACCTACAGTCTGCACTTAAATAAATCTGTCTGTTAAAAAAAATTAGGACAAAGAAAAAAAAGGCAGCAGGTTAAAAAAGAGGAAAATAGTAGATGGGTCAGGCCGAGAACATTACTTAGTAGGTGTGTTCACTTGAGGACATAGAACCTGGCGAAGAATGGGTGCACATACCAAATGACTGCTGTAAGACCTTTTCTGTTTGCATCCTACTAGACAGAAAATGCAGACTTAAAGTGAATGTTGCCTCTATAGAGCCT